CGAGCTTGGGAGCCTCTTGGGCAGTCTTGGGTACCTCTTTGCGGTCCCGAGAGCCTTTTGCGTACCTCGGGGAGCCTCTTGGGGCCCATTGGGTGTCTTTCGGGAGCATATTCGAAGCCTCTTGGGAGCCTCTTGGGGCCTCCTTGGCGCCTCTTGGGGCCCTATTGAGGCCCTCTTGGGGCGCTCTCGGGAGCTTTCGAGGCGCTCTTGGGGCCATCTTGGAGGACATCGAACAAAGTAGGGGATGGTCGGAATTCGCGTTGCAAAACCAATAATTTGGGCTTCCTCGTCGAGGCCGTTTTGGACGCCCTGACACCTCGCCGCCCCCCCCGTCCAGGTCCAGGGGAGGGGGGGTAAGGGGGAGGGGTCAAGCTAGCCACCCGCCCGCAAGCCGCCTAGCTCACTCCCACCCGCCCTCCTCCCTACACATAAGTAACACCCGAGTTTGAGCATGGTCAGCGGTCGTCTTTGGATGGACAGCTACTGGGAACCAAAGCCGACCCCAGGTGCGCGACGCTTGGGCGAGGTGCGCCACGCGTGCCAGGGGCGCCACGCGCGCCGGGCACCCCTGGGGCCCGAGCGTGCCAGGCACGCCTGGTGCGCCAGATGCGCCACGTGCTCCGAGTGCGCCAGGTGTGCCGCACACTCCAGCCGCGCTAGGTGCGCCGCGTTCGGGGCACGTGCTTGTCGAAAACCGATGCCCATCATCGTGTCTGGTGGGCCTGCGCACAGCAGGCCATGCGCCACCACTCCCGCCGTCCCTGACAAAAACCACTTGACAGTGATCGCGAGATGGCCGCGCACGATCCAGATTTAGCCGCGAGGTGCATGTTGTATTGGTTTTTGTCCGGGATGGTAGCCCTGCGCACAGCAGGGAATCTGTTGACACCCCCGCCGTCTTGTCAAAACAATACGAAGTGCTCGCGGGCTTCACGAACATGACTCAAGACTGTGCCCAAAAGTGTACTTTGTATTGCGTTTTGACAGGGATGGTGGGGGCGGGTCGGCATGGTGTCGGCATGGTTTCGGGTTGGCCCCCAGACGGCTGGGGGAGGGGGTGTATAGTAGCAAGGAACAGTGATAAACCCCTCCCCGAGGGTGAAGAGGAAGGGGTGGAAGAGGGAACGCTCTAAACCACCTACGCCCTGAGGGCTGCTGGGATTCTGGCGAAACGCAGCGGAGTCGTTTAGAGGAAAAATATGGCATAAACCTAACATGTTGGAGGTCCGCGCAGATTTCTCGGACCTGCGTTGGTCCCCCTCACTGGCGCGCGGAGCGCGCCAGGGGCGGCGCCAGTGGCCCCGCCCAGGGGGGTCTCAGCGCAGATCCAAGAAATCCGCACGGAGCGCCAACAGTTTATGTGTCTGCAATTTTCAGGAGGGAAAGAAACACACAGACACAATTACTCGTCGACTCCCAGGAAAATATGCAAAAATATGGGAAGTGGTGGGGAAGACAAAAACCCAGAAAATATTGGAAAATATGGGGGGATATGTTTATTTGTGTGTATTTATTTGTGTGTTCCAGTTCCCCTTCAAATTTGTTGTTCTTCGATCCTGCCCCCCCCCCCACTCCTAGAGGGGCAAGGGCCCTTTAGGGGGAGGTGGCCACACCAGGGTCTCGGAACGCCTGCCGGCGGTGTGAGAGTCCGCGCCGTGCAGGGCGGGCGAGCACCACGTGTAGCGTTCCCCTCCCATCCCTAACCCCTAAGGGTCTTTGGTTCTGCTCCCCCCCCCTGTTTTTTTTCGGCGGGGCATAGAGCTCATCCCTCCTCTGCCTCCTGCTCCTCCTGCCCCTCCTCCTCCGTATCCGCCTCCTCTTCTTCCTCCTCCTCCTCTTCCTCCTCCTCCTCCTCCTCCTCCTCCTCCTCCTCCTCCTACCCCCTCCTCCTCCTGCTCCTCGGTTGTCGTCGTCGTCGTCGTTGTTGCGTGGCGGGTGCCGCGGAGGAATTATTATTTTCCGCTATTGGTGGGACCCCAATCTTTCAATGAGGGCGTCGAAATTATACTTATTTTCCACTGTCTGGGGGGTCTAAAGACCCTTCAGGGTTAACTCCAACCCCCCCCCTACCCTCCTCCGTCTACCGGGCCCCCCACATGGGTCAGAGGAGGAAAAGGTACTCATAATACCGCTACCCGTCGCTCGTTTCTGCATCTTTGGGTTTCTTGGGAGGCCATCGTCCCCACCGCTGGATTCGCTCCAGAATTCTGGTCAGAACGCACCGCGGGAGAGGTCCTGGGAGTAGCGGTATCAGTACCTTTTGGTTTCCCCAATGGGTGAATGTGCTTCGGGCGCCCTGGCGTCGTCTTAGTGCCCGTGCCACGGGCGCGCGCTTGGGGAGAGGAAGGGGGAGGAGGGCGAGGCGGAGCGGTACAGTAAGGATCCATGCCAAGAAAGACCTTGCTTGCCTCCAGGGTGCTTTGGTGCGATGGAAAGCGTGACGTTCCCACACCAAGAATCGATGGACGTCTTGGGGTCTCAGGGTTGGGTTTCTTGTGGAAGGTTTCTTGTGGACTGGCCTCCACTGTATGGAAAGGCGGGGGGCGAGGCCGCGAAGGCTTCTGGCGCGTGGCGGTTGGCAGCGGCCGCTCTCACCCCTTGCCAGGACGGCCGTCGGCGAGGGCTCGGAGATCAAGCAGTGACGTGCAGTCGACCGGGAGACCCAGACCCCCTCTCGCTGTGAGAAAGTCGCAGGGTTTGGGGCATGTTCGGCCTCCGGTGGCCCTGGCCGGGCCCCGGGAGCGTCAAAGAACGACTTGAGGATGAGAAACCAGTCCCGGGGAAGGGGTCGACACCTTTGGGAGTCGACGTTTTCGACTAGACGTAAGAGTGACCTTTCGCCGGAGTGACCTTTGGTGCGGGCACAGATGGATCCCCAGATGGCTAAAAACGAGGCAGTAGCAGCTGCTTGCGCGCCCAGGTTTGGTCTCCCCGCGGCCCCCAAAAAGTCGCGCACCAAAGGTCACTCTTACCCAGGGTCACTCCAGCGTGTAGCCGAACGCTGTGACAAAATCACGACGTCGGGGGTCTGGGCAGTAAGGGTGAACTATTTTCCAAGGTTGCCCTTGCATCCTTCCCCTCCGGTCCATCCTTGGCCGCTTTCGCTGGCCGCGGCCCGCTCGCAAGGCGTTGACGTGGCCTTCCAAGGCCCTTGCATCCTTCCCGCGCATCCGTACTATACGGATTGACTGTGCGCATAACACTCTGGGGTCCGCGCAGATTTCTCGGATCGGCGCTGAACCCCCCTCCCTGGCGCGCTCTGCGCGCCAGGTGTGGCTCAATCAGGCGCCGCCAGGGGTCTCCAGTGCCGAGCGCCGATCCGAGAAATCCGCGCGGACCCCTGAGCTTTGTTAACTTTGCGGCATTGCTTGTTCCCCTGCGAGTCCCTCCCGTCCGCCCCCCCTGATGGCCCCCCACCGTCCCCTCCGCCGCAAGAGCAAGCTAGGGAATGCGGGCTCGTGGGGCGTGAAGTGGTCGGGCAAGTGGAGGGGCAGGTGGGCCAGGACTCGACCCAAACGGTGTTTGACGATGTCGTGGACCGTTCTCGTTTTGAAGCCGTGCTGCAGTAAAGGCTGACTGAAGGCAAAAACGAGGGCAAAAGAAAACAAGACGAAAACGAAAAGCACTGCTTAGGGCGATCCCTGAGGTGAGCGGCAGGGGGGGGGGCGCAGGTTGGGCGAGGCGGCTCACGGTTCCCAGGCCCATGGCCGTCGATCTGCAAATTTGGGGGCTCGCCACCTCTGGGCCGTCCAGCCGTCAGGGGGTGGCCTCGGCTGCCCCATATGTCAGTATCGTTGAACCGATCCCCATCCCCATCCCCTTCGAGACCCCCACCAACTTACCATCCCCCAGTTGGGGATACACCCCTCGAAACCCGAAGGGAATGGCCTATATCCCCATCTAGGGGGGTAAATCGGCCAGTGGGGCCCAGGCCACTGCGCTGGGGATGGGGATCGGTTAAACGATTCACAATATGACCGCTTCCCCGGGTATGCCCCCCCCCACGGGCTCCTTCTCGGGGCATGCGACAACTCGTGGCGCAGCCGTCGTGGGGGCCGTCGGGTAGGTCTGGGGGTCGCGGGGGCCTTCGTGGAGGCCGTCGGGAGAGGGATGGGGGGGCAGAAGGGGCGTGGGGGGTCGTGGCGTAGCGTTGCGGTGAGGGGGGGCGGCGTCGGGGAGAGAGGGCGTCGTTGGGAGAGGGGTCGTGGGTGGGTGGGGAGATGGTGCTCAGCTCTGGTGGAGCTGCCGCCGTCTCTGGCGCCAGGCAAGAAGTGGGTCCGACGCGTCGGAGTCGTCCGAGGTGGCGTCCTCGTCCTCCTGGGGGTTTGCCCCCCCTCTGAAGAGACGGCGCCGTCTGCACAATCCGTCGTGCTCGTGGGGGTGTCGGCGAGGCCGTCGGCGGGGGCCGTCGGCGGGGCCGTCGGCGGGGCCGCCGCGGGGGCCGTCGGCGAGGGCCGCCGCGGTGGCCGCCGCGGGGGCCGCGGCCGTCCCCGTGCCCGCCTTTTGGCGGCCGCCGCGGGGTGTCCTCGCGAGGCGCTTTTTTCCGGAGGCCCGGCGAGGACGACGCGCTCCAGGGAGGGCCGCCGCTGCCTCGACGACCCTCCTCGGCTGCTCCGTTCTCCTCCTTCTTCCTCCTTCCTCCTCCTCCTCCTTCCTCCTTCCTCCTTCCTCCTACCTCCTACCTCCTACCTCCTTCCTCCTCCTCCTCCTCCTCCTCCTCCTCCTCCTCCTCCTCCTCCTCCTCCTCCTCCTCCTCCTCATCCTCCCTCATACCTCCTTCCTCCTCATCCCTCCTCCTACCTCCTTCCTCCTTCATCCTTCCTCCTTCCTCCTCCTCCCTCCTCTTTCTCCTCCTCCCTCCTCATTCCTCCTCTCTTGGACCCTCTCGGGGGGCCTCTTGGGCCCCCTTGGCCCGGCCCCTCCTCTCTCCCTCCCCTTCGCCTGCCCGCGCTCCCCGCAGAGCCGACAGGGGGGCCCCCTGCCCGGCCCCGCCCCGCAAGGTGGCAGATCAGCGGCGACCTCCTCGGCGTGGCCCTCGAGACCTTCAAGCTCGAGGGGTGACTTCCTCGCAGCGCCCCGGGAGGCTCGCGGGGACGCCGCAAAGCGCGCAGGGAGGCCCACCCACCCGTGGAGGACGAGGGGGGTCCTGGGGGAAGGCAGGTCCTGGAGGTCAGTGGCAGCCTTCGCCCCCCCTCGAGCGCGGAACAATGCCCCAGGCAGTGCTTGCACTGAAGGGGTCCTAGCAGAGAGTGAAAGATTTGGCGAAGGTTTCCCGCCGATGTCGGTAGCTGGCTGGGTTCCTGGGTGCCCGGTTCCGGGTTCCTGGGTTCCTGGTCATTGGTTCCGGTCCGATTTCGGTGGGTTCCGGGTTCCCGAGTTCACGGTCGATCTCCTTGTCGATCTCTTTATCGATCCTATTTCAAACCATCCATTGATTGGGTTTTTTTCTCTGGTGTAACTTGTAGGCCTCCTAGATGGGGTCGGAGAAGATGGGGTGGGTCGGGGGATCGCGCCGCATCGCCGATGCGTCGACGATGCGGCTCGATGTGGAGCCCTTGTTTCCCCACGCCGACGTCGCCGATGCATCACCGATACATCGGCGATGCATTGGTGATGCGGCGCGATCATTCGACCCCATCTACCCGGATCCCATCCAGGAGGCCTCTAAAGAAACAGTTGCATAGGCATAAATATTTGAAGGTCCTCGCGGATTTCGTGGATCTGCGCTGGACCCCCTCTGGCGCCGCCACTGGCGCGCTCCGCGCGCCTTTGATGGGTATTTGGCGCCGATCCAAGAAGTCCTCGCGGACCGTCGAGAGTTTCTGTGTGTGCCGCTTTTCGTTTCTATTGCTGGCAGCTTTCGCACGGCCCATGGAGAGCCCCGGGAGAACCGTCGGGACCGTCAAGCGACGTCTCGGAATGAGGAGCTGCGCAACTGCTCTGCTCAGCCGCGCACGACGCCACAGCGACCTGGGTACATCTCGGCGGCGAGCCCAGGGGGGAAGGTGCGGGGGCAGGCTTTCTCAGAAGGCGGCGGGCTTCTCGGAAGCCCCCCGGCCTTTTGCGAAGCCGCTTCTGTCTTCGGTGAAGGCCTGAATGCATTTTCGCGCTTCGCGTATCCCTACCAGTCCGTTCAGAAACCTTGCCCACGACCGCTGACGGGAAAAGGGACGAAGAGATTTAAACAAAGCGGGGCCACAAGGATGAGCAGAGAGATCTCGGGGAGCAAGGGGATGGCCTTGGAGGGCCTTTTTCGGGCCATCCCTGGGGCCCGCGGGGGGGCGAGGAAAGGAGGAAAAGGAGGAGGAGGAGGAGAAGGAGGAGGAGGAGGAGGCAAACCGCCTCTTGGGGCACTCGCTGGACGCTCTTGCAGCGCTCTCGGGGCCACCTTTGCGCCCTCTTGAGGCCCTCCTGGGGCTCTCCTCCTGGGGCTATCTTGGAGGCAGTCGAGCAAAAGGGTGGGGTCCCTTAACTGAGATGCGTCTTTAGTTTTGGGTCTCCCCCCCTGATTCTCTCGGCAGCGGATAACACTCGTCCACCCTCTCCCTGCTGCTCCTCCTCCTTCTCCACAATTACACAGTATGAAAATACTCTCCCACTTCCCCTGATGGCGTCCCGAAGATATCCGACACCCCCCCGCGCACTGTTTTTCCTGGAAAGGGCTCGAGCCCAGGGTTCTCTTTTAGTGGGTTTACCCCCCGGTTTCGACGGCTGTAGGGCCGGCGAAATTATTCTGCGATAAATTACGTGCGGGAGTAGGGCCGGAGAATTAAAATCTGAGGATGTCTCGAGCGAAACGCATGTTTTTCAGAATTTGTGGAGGATGTCTCGAGCGAAACGCTTGTTTTGTGTTATAGATTGTCCTCTCCTGGGTACCTGAATTCTGAGGATCTCTCAAGCGGATTGCTTGTTTTCACGTGCCCAGGTCTTGAGGATGTCTCGAGCGAGACGCTTGGTTTCACGCCTCCAGGTGGCCTAGACAGATGTCTAGCATGAGGATTTGTTGAGGATGTCTTGAACCAGAGGCTTGTTTTCACGTGTCCAGGTCGCCCAGGCGGACGTCTAGCATGAGCATTTGTTGAGGATGTCTCGAGCGAGACGCTTGTTTGCACGTGTCCAGGTTGCCCAGGCGGATGTCTAGCATTAGGATGTGCTGACAACGTCTAGACCGAAACGCGTGTTTTCACGTGTCCAGGTCGCCCAGGCACAGCACAGCCCTCGGCACGGTACATCAATATCGATACCCTTAGCATTGCAGCCTGGCATGTTGCCTGGCACGTTCCGCGGAGAGTCCCGTGGCGAGTCCCCCTGGCACGTCGCGCGGTGCACGTCCACTGGCACGTTCCGTAGCGCGTCCCCTTGGCACGTCCCGCGGTGCGTCCCCATGGCACGTCCCCTGGCACGTCGCCTGGCGCGTCCCTTGGGACGTTCGGCGGCGCGTCCTCCTGGCATGTTCCCTCTGTCGATTAGTTCTGGGGCAGCTACCATCTGCTCAGGCAGCTCGAGCTTACGATCCAGATCAGTTCGGTGAGGACTCGGATGCCAGGGAGGACTCGATCCACAACGCTATAGAGAGCACAATCGCGGCATGGCACATCGCAGTTCAGCACGGCCCAGCACAGCACAGCCGTCGGCACGGTACATCAAGATCGATACACTCAACTATGCACCTTGGCACGTTCCTTGGCGCGTTCCGTGGCGAGTCCACCTGGCACGTCGCGCGGCGCGTCCCCTGGCACGTCCCTCGGCACGTCCATTGGCACGTTCCGTAGCGCGTCCCCTTGGCACGTCCCGCGGTGCGTCCCCATGGCACGTCCCCTGGCACGTCGCCTGGCGCGTCCCTTGGGACGTTCCGCGGCGCGTCCTCCTGGCATGTTCCCTCTGTCGATTAGTTCTGGGGCAGCTACCATCTGCTCAGGCAGCTCGAGCTTACGCTCCAGATCAGTTCGGTGAGGACTCGGATGCCAGGGAGGACTCGATCCACAACGCTATAGAGAGCACAATCGCGGCGTGGCACATCGCAGTTCAGCACGGCGTAGCACAGCACAGCCCTCGGCACAGTACATCATCATCGATACATTCAGCATTGCATGTGCCCGTCGCCCAATCAGGTGTCTTTGAAATGTTGCAATGCCTTACATTTCTATATTCCTTTCCGGGTTCGTGGGTCGATCATGTTTTACACACAGGATTCCCGGGAAACGGGTTTTCGCTTGCGTTTTTTTTCCCGGAAAGGGCAAAGGCCCAGGGTTCTCTTTTAGTTGGTTTCCCCCCGGTTTTGACGGCTGTAGGGCCGGCGAACTTCTTTTGCGATAAATAACGAGGTCGCGTAGGGCCGGCGAATTAAAAATTGAGGATGTCCCTAGCGAAACGCTTGTTTTTCAGAAATTGTTGAGGATGTCTCGAGCGAAACGCTTGTTTTGTGTTATAGATTGTCCTCTCCTGGGGACCTGAATTCTGAGGATCTCTCAAGTGGATTGCTTGTTTTCACGTGCCCAGGTCTTGAGGATGTCTCGAGCGAGACGCTTGGTTTCACGCCTCCAGGTGGCCCAGACAGATGTCTAGCATGAGGATTTGTTGAGGATGTCTCGAACCAGAGGCTTGTTTTCACGTGTCCAGGTCGCCCAGGCGGATGTCTAGCATGAGCATTTGTTGAGGATGTCTCGAGCGAGACGCTTGTTTGCACGTGTCCAGGTTGCCCAGGCGGATGTCTAGCATGAGGATGTGCTGACAACGTCTTGAGCGAAACGCGTGTTTTCACGTGTCCAGGTCGCCCAGGCACAGCACAGCCCTCGGCACGGTACATCAACATCGATACCCTGAGCATTGCAGCCTGGCATGTTGCCTGGCACGTTCCGCGGAGCGTCCCGTGGCGAGTCCCCCTGGCACGTCGCGCGGTGCACGTCCATTGGCACGT